GTTACCCAAATTGGGTCGATCAATGGAATGGATGATAGAAAACTAAAATAAAAAACGGAATGGAGAAAAAAACATTTTTGTCGAAAAAAATATTTTGGGATATACTGAGCATCAAAGTTTGCCTGAAATTTTTGTAAATCATTGGTTAGAGGTAGAAAGCTCAACCCAAGCGTTTGTTTCGGGCGAGATAACAAACCCCGAAAGTTTCAATGGTTTTCGAAATGTTGCCGAACGTTCAATAATAGTAATGGTGGAAGCACACATATTTTGAAAAAAATTTGAAAACTGTTTTCTCATTATTTATCTTGTCACTATGTCTACAGGAACACCCCATTTTAATCATCGCCCCAATCTCGGTAACACCCTATATACAGGGTGTCATTTAAGTATCTGGCCTAACTTCAAAGAACGATTATTTGAGTGATTCTAGGATGGAGAGTTGATATAAAGATAAGTCCTGAAATGCTTCGTTTTCAAGATATAGCGTGTTGAAGTTGGAAATATTGATTGTCGTTTTTCATGATCACCCTGTATAAGCTACCATAATGGCGAAATTTAGTTTGATTGGTGACCCAGAAAATACTCATTGAGGTTATTGGGTAATCTCAATGGGTTACTTGAGGGCATCCACATTAAAATTTGAGTCAAATCAATATTTTGTTATTTCCTCAGGAACCAATGAAAGATTCACAAAAAATTCAATCGGAGACAAGAAGGCTGTATTTTCCGTTGTTTAATCTGATGCGTCGCTACTGCAATCATTATCTGGAATCTGATAACACCAGAAGGAGCTTCCTGATACTATTTTAACAAAATAACCAAGTTTCATTGAAATTGGAAAACATAATTTTTAGTAATCAATAACAAAACGACTTTTTATCGATACTTTGACACCCCGTATCTCGCAAACGAAGTATTTCTGCACCTATGTTCACATGATCGTCTCAGAATCATCCAGATAATCACCCCTTGAAGTTTGGCCAGATACTTGAATAACACCCTGTATGGTCTATATAGAAGCAAGCTTCTTGCACGTTTGCAGTTATAATAGAGCGGAGGCTGGTGTGTACACCTTTCCCTCCATCACCGTGGAAATTCATGACATACTTGTTTTGTTGGTATTACCTGACAGATTGAGAATTTATTCTTGTGCCCTCTTTGAATTACAGCATATTCTGGAAGAATAAGAAAAGAAAAACTGGAAAATTGAAAATCTCTATATTTTTGTTCATTTTTGTCTTATTTCGAGCTACCGAAGAAAATATTCTTCACTCAAAATATTTTTATTTTAAGAAAAAACTTAACTAACAGCATGATTCCATAGTATCGAGCATATGTTTCATTGTAATCAACAGTCATTTTCTCCCATACTCGTGTATTATGTCGTCTAAGTTCATTTCCATCTTGGAATTCATGATGGTCAAAGCTTTCTGAAATGTCAAGAAGGTCGGGTTTCAACAGATCTCCTTCAAACCAATCCATTTTCCAACGTCCATCTATGTCCCACTATAGTTGGCTTCATGTCGACCAATCCTTTGACAAGCCGCAACTCACAGCGGCGGGTAAAATATTTTTTTCGTTCCTACAAACTAAAGCTGTTTATAAATGAGTTTTTGATTGTTCAAAAATTACCCATATATCCATTTTGGAACATGAGGGTTCCGAATATTGGTAAATTTCTAGACCACCCATGAGGCACCCATGACTGGTTACTTGTTTTTAGTGGGTTTTCGCCAATAGCCCTAGCGTCCTACATTTGAAATATGAATGAATTAAACTAAATCAAAATTCTCAACAAAATCGAATATGAATATAACATTGAACCTAATGAAAATTCTCAACAAAGTTAAATGAAAATGAAACATTGAACTGGATAAAAATCATCAGTAGTATAAAGAACTTCAAGATATGTATGTATAACAATATGAATAAGATAAGTACTATGGAAATGCCAATAATTCTGAATATCTGATTGATAGAGTTACTTTATGTATATACACGTATATTCGAGATAACACAAGGTAGCTTACTGAATTGAACATTGTTCTGTGTGGTTCAAAATCATACGAAGAAAATAATCAATAAAATAACATTGAACCTAATGAAAATTCTCAGTGAATAAATGGTATACTCTGAAAGGTTTTGTTTTGATGAAATTAGAAATAGGTAAAGTTCCACAGTTTCAATTTTAATGTCACATCACTTTCCTACACTTACACAATTTCACTACATATGTCACCTCACTTTCCTCAACTCCACACTGTGGTTATGATAATCACAATATGATTCACAACACACCACTTATTATTAGTTTTCGTAACTGTTGTACACAAATACTGGATGATATATAACTAGTCACTATCGGACTCTTCATGACTTGAATCTCCATTTACCCTAATGATCACTGGATACTGTCCCGATGGTGGTTGAAACTGACTCGCTAAATTGCGTTGATTGGTTATTTTCAGGTACTTTGCTTTTAAAAGCAGCCCAGACCATCTCAATGCGGTTAAAAACTCAGTAATATGGGGGCAAACGTAAGACAGTATGGCCGTGTGCTCCAAAGAGTTCATCAACTACATATTCCTTTGGGTAATTTTGTTTCCTGATATTTTCCAGTAATTCGTTCTTCAGTTTTTTTAGGAGATATTTCCATGCCTTTTTTCTCCATAAATTGAATAATGTCTTTTTCGTGTTGGTGCTCGGTATTTTTGTTTGTTGACGTGAATGGTATGACGCATTTTCCATATCGATGACTGGATTCTCTGGAATATTTGGTATAAGCTGCTGCTCTGCCCATTTCTCAAATGATTCTGCCGTCATGTCCTCGTGATGATCGGCAGAGGATTGCTTGATATTTTCTACAGACAACAACAATGCATTGTCGACAAATCCATTTTCATTGGCGTCGTGAAGGATTATAATTCTTTTACCTCTCGAACTCGGACCACTCACATTACAGTTTGTGCTATCATCTACCCAACCGTATTGAACAACGTCATGAGTGTCGAACCACGTTTCATCTAGATTATAGGTCTATTCGCTTCACGGTATCCCTTTATTTCACGTAGATATTCCTGCCGATGGTCTACGATGGGTCTTGATTCCATAATCACCATCCTTTTTTATGACTGAACCCGCAATCTAGTAAAACATTTCGCAACGTACTTAACGATTTGTAATTATAATCTGCGTATTCATTCAACTTATCACTGATATCTGGCAATGTTGGCACCTTATTCTCAATCTATATACAATTCGACGAATTACTTCTTTCCAAGCATCACCAAGCATCTTTAGTTTTTGTCCCACTGTGTTTCGTTTAACTTCATGATCTATATACAACACCTCCGGTTCTAATAACTCTGTATATGGTTAGTATAAATTATTTCAGTTAATTCCTGTATTCTCTTCACAAGTTTGTTTTCTGAAGAATCATTATTCTCTTCCTCCAGACGCGATTAGACATTCAAAATTACCCTTTGCGTTTGAACGTGTAAGTCTTTATTGACGAACTCCGCTTGCTCTTCCTCCGAATCACTATCACTCACTTCGTTGACTTCATGAAAAGGCCTCCAGAACACAAAACCACTACGATTGGAATAATAATTTTATGAATTCCGAGTTGAACCAATGAAGTCAACCTAGCTCGTACCGCACTGCCCAGCGCAGGCTAGAAGATTTTTATCACACAGAAGACCTCCCATGCAACTCTGACCAATCAACATTCAGGAGTAACCAATGAGACGCGGTTTCTAGCATGACAGCGCTCGTCCAGTCCACGTTGACTGCACAGGCTGCATACCAGGAGCCCTCAGTAGAAAATATCTCATTCATTTCTATTCCAATGTTAAGCAAATCGACAAATACTCGTATCGTCCTTAACCTTTAATTACTCGCGCTGGTGTATTTTGTACACCAGCGCCAAATTTCTTGCTACCATCGAACGTAGAATTATTTTTGTGGCTCTAGACAACCACCTAACCTATGTCTAACATGTCTGGGATGTGATAGATCAGTTTTGTGTGTGTGTTTGAACGTAAATTTTGACGCGTTGTCACGTTGGTGCCCGTTGGAGCCTAGAATACAATACACTGCGTGGGAAATAGGGTAAATTATCTAAGTATTCAATATTGTATACAAACACGTTAGTTGTGTATTATGCCATTTTTCGAAATTAATTGAATTTGTTGTGTAGGAAGTACCTATTCAACTTACGTAATTTGTTGAGTGCCAAATTACTTAAATATAAGCAATATTATTTATACTGACACCTGTCCACTGTTTGATTGGAAAATCATTCACTTCACTACCAGATAAAAGTTGCTACAAAAAACTTTCCAAATATAAGTTGCTTCAGCGAAATCAACAGTACTTTCGACTGCGTTGCTCACGTGAAAATATCCAGATATTTCAGCAGTGGATTTAATGAAAGGTCGAATGAGATATCTTGTTGAACGAGCATCTACACTTCAACTATCATCTTCTGAGATTGAAAAACATTGGCATTCCATTACGAAACATCTAGTAAAATAACTCTTGAAACTTAAGATAAGTAGGCAAATATTGAAATCAATATCTGTATATTTCGATTTTTTTGAATTATTTCAAATAACGAATTGACTACGACACAAAAGAATTGTTCAAATAAGACCTGGTTGCTTGGACATGATGGAGACACATCTAAATATGTGGCTGATACTCGCTGTTTCATCAGGAAAAAGTAAAATTCACGTTGAACCGCGTTCATGAAATATCATGTAGAGATCTAACTGGTTTTCATTTGTAAACCTTATAAAATATGTTTATGACTTCCATGTAAGCGAATCATCAAAAAGACAATTTTCCTTAGATGATAGTTCAGGAGGTGGAAATTATTCAAGAAGAAAAATCATGACCATGCATGAATTCATTACTACAACTGTCAACAATACTTGAAATGTGCTAACTGATATAATTACATTAAGGTTGATTATTGAAATTCGTCCCAATTTTTATAGGTGATTATCCATGATCCTGAAGAATTTCCTGGCTCACAGTCTACCACAAAAATAGTCTCAGTCGGAAAATTGTCTTACCTTCAGTTACAAGGAACGAAGATGATTTGCAGCGATGACGTCAAGAATCTTCCGATCAATCAAAGGCACTGCTTGATGGAAGACGAATTTGAACTGAAGTATCTCGGGGACAGATACAGCGATGCTAATTGTTTAACAGAATGTGTAGCCTCCAATTATGCCCAAAAGTGCGGATGTGTTCCATTTTATTTATCATTTTCGGGTAGGTGCTACTGTGAAACGAATATCATCAGACAGCATGTGTTGCCACTCGCCAAACCGATTTTTGTGTGTTTCTCCACTTACAGGCCGCTGACCCTAGGCAAAAATTTTCGCAAAGTTCGCATAAATTCGCATATTCCAAAATTCTTCTGCACGTTCCAATGGTATGAAATCAAGTTTGCAGTTCTGAAAGACCTATGCTATAATACAGGTGCTGAAGAAACTTTGAAATTTTTGGACTAATTTCGGTTTTCAGCCCAAAAGTCCCATAATGATTTTTTATCAAAATCATAATATATGGTGTACATTTGTTACAGTTTCTTTCCACCGTAGTTCCTATACAGAGTGGGCCTTTGAAAACGAAACAGAGGCTCTGTAGGTCGCCAAAACCGGATTATGAAAAAAATCTGAAACACACCAAACAACATTTTCGAGGGGACATCGTTCTAAAATATTTTCAGCTCTGCGGCGTTGCCACTTCTAATGAAAAGAAGCAATAACTTTGTTATTTCAAATGGAACACCTTGTATTTTATTGCATTTTTAGATTCTCCTCGAAGAGCTGATTTCATCAATGCATCACACTTGGGGTCTAGCTGTAATGGTTTCAGGGATATAAAGTGTTCAAAATCGAGATTTTTCAACTTTAGCATTTTTTTGTGTCGAAACTATTCATTATTGGTCAAAACGGCTTTCATGTTCCTATCTCAACTTGTGATTTACTATCTACTAACATTTAATTGGAACAGATACAGGGTGATCAGAATTCTGAATCTTGAGCCACCCTGTATTTGTTTCAAATAAATGTCAGTTGATAGTAAATCACAAGTAGAGATAGGGACATAAGCGCCGTTTTGACCAATAATGAATAGTTTCGACACAAAAAAATGCTAAAGTTTGAAAAATCTCGATTTTGAACACTTTATATCCCTGAAACCATTACAGCTAGACCCCAAGTGTGATGCATTGATGAAATCAGCTCTTCGGGGAGAATCTAAAAATGCAATAAAATACAAGGTGTTTCATTTGAAATGACAAAGTTGTTGCTTGTTTTCATTAGAAGCGGCAACGCCGCAGGGCTGAAAATATTTCAGAACGATGTCCCCCTCGAAAATAAAGTTGACGTGTTTCAGATTGTTCTTATAATCCGGTTTTGGCAACCTACAGAGCCTCTGTTTCGTTTTCAAAGGCCCACTCTGTATATAGTTCATCTGCAGCGCAACACTCTATTTGAATCCTGTCGCTGTGCCTACGTCTCGTGAATTATAACAGTTCAGTGGGTTCAGTTCTTAGGCAGCAGAATAAAAATTTATCAGTGCCAAAGATTGAGAAACTGGTATGCCAAGCGCCTATTGAATTGAAGCGTTGACCTCGTTCGAGGTCACAGGCATTCGATACATTTACACTTCAGTCATCAGTGGAACATACCTATAAAACTACTGTCAGAAGTTAAGTTGACATTGGGAATTTGACAGGTTTGACAAAGACATTCCATCACTGAGTCACTTGTTGCTTCAATCGTTTGCACTTACTGATAGAAGGTGTTCGAATATTATATTCGAAGAAAAATTTCAATATTTTATTCATCGCTATGGGGATACAATCTGCCAATATCAAATTGATATTTCGAAACGTACTGGGTTTTGTCGTGAGCATATTATTGTGAACGTTTTTCCAAAATCAATCGTTTGGTCGATAGCCAGCTATCATGGACGAGTAGTTGAAATAGTTTATATTGAGTTCATTGGTTTCAGGAGCTAACCTAATCTAACCTTCTTATACATCTCAACTTGAATGAGGAAGTCACAGGATAAAGAAAACCTGATTTTCCTTTGTGAGGTGTACTGACACTCGTGTAAGTTGATACATCTAACAGAAAGTCATTAGTGCTATCTTTGTGTAATCTGACTATTGAGGGAGGCTGAAATCTTCGGTTTGAAGGTAATTCTCAGAGCTCAATTGAGGCAGAGTAGCCTCTTTATAAATATGAGGTACCTAAGTCACTTTTCAGGGGTATAATGTAGGAAGAGAGATAGTGAAACAAAGTTACAGCCGTGATTAATTACTGAAAGGGGGCCCTGGAGCCTTTTATGGGGGCACCTCAGGGCAGTTTCTAGTGACACTGAAGTTGTGAACATTTTCAATAGATAGAACTACCTCTCAATGGAATATTTGTATGAATAATAGTATTCAGATTTCATAAGAAGATGTAAACATTTCCTCATCATTTCACACTGTTTGTCATTATCCAGCTTGTTTTTGGCTTGGTGATGGTTTGGTCGCCTTTTTGTGAGTAATATTTCCAGATGATATTAAGTGAAAGTTGAAGATTAGCATTTCGGTGAGCTTACCTCTCAAAAAGTGGTCTATTCCTGTCAAGGATTTGGAGTATTGACATCTTGAGGACCCATTAAAACTTTCCAAGAGGGCTAATAATGTAATTTTCAACTTAATTAAAACGACTTTTTCTTGAGCCTATACAGGATCACATCACTTCAACTTTTCGAGCTGGATGTTTGTAATGTCTATACAGGGTGTCACCACTTGACGTTCTTGAATAAGGTGATGATGAAAGTCTTTACCTACTCGATAAGAAATTGCAATTTGCATCATTGAGATAGACAAATATACATGGTAGATTTACCTGAAGTTTTCAAGAGGAAATCATTGATATTTTAACAATAAATTCATTGAAATGTTGAGAGTGTTTGAGTTGATTCTAGTTATACAGGGTGGCATTATAGAGAATGAAAAAAAGGGTGATAAATGATATGCTCGTGATTCCAGTTCACTGTCTGATAATATTATAGTGCAATTTTAATTTAAGGGGGTGTTAACAGTTTTTTCGAATGACAACCTGAGTACAGAAATATTGTCAAAGAAGTAAGGAAAAGCGTATAATTTGACTTACTCCTACCCAGGGTTTTTCTTTTGGTATAAGTCTGCTCATATTTCACGTCGTGCTTGGTGCTAGAATCTAGAGGCCCAAGATTCATGGTTATCTGGCCCAGGTCTAACTTGCTGAAGTCGATCCAGCTTCAGCCGGACTCGAATTGCAGTTTCCACAGTTTGCTAGTCGCAGACACTATCAACACTACAAGCAGTCTGCAATCTGACCTGTAGACATCGTCGTGGGATTGCACGCAAGTTTTTCTTACATGGGAACTCATAATCTAAATTTGATTTACTATCAATATGATATATTGCTCAATAACTTCACCATTTCAATTTTATGAGCACTTAAGGCATAGGTATTTCTGAGTAACGGAAATTGTGAGCTTCTGTAATCGTTCATTCTTTCTGGTAATACTGAGAGACTCAAGATACCCAACACGAATATACAGGGTGAACTGTATTTTTTAGTCAAATAAAAAGACATTATGACAAAACATGTTTCGAAGCGCCAACCTAGCCTATCACTTCGGGAGATGTTACTTTTTCTACTTATTTATCATGGAAGTCACGACCTGACATAAAAAATTGGTTTGGCGGGTGCAGACTCATGTAATGTGATTACATGGGTCATTTATTTTCAGTTTTCGATAATATACGTCAAGTTTTAAAATTTTTGAACAAAAATCAAATTTTCATGTCTTTGATATTTTTAATTTCCGTTCCCCATGTTGAATATTCATATCGTATAATCTTCAAATACGTAAAAGACTTCTGGTGTTCAAGTACAGAGTGAACGAAGCTCTATTATGAGAGGAGGAGAAACATCTGAAGAGATGTTTCTGAATGTAGTTGGGTGAGGTCCTTTTCAAGGTTGTTTTTGGTTTGGTCAGATTTGTAAGTTGTATAAAATAATTATTAAAGAATTTTCATTATTAATAATATACACAATGACAAATTTTATATCGATATCTCATCAAATACTCGAGTGAATATGAACAAAAACTGTTGAATTTCGAATTTTGACGGACATTAGATTGGATATGGGGAATGAGAATGAGAGATGCCATGTGAAAAGTCATATTATCTATGTTCGAGGAAAACACCAGGTCTTCAACAATGATTGAACACCACGTGACCATATTCGTATGCAACCAACAATATATTTTTGTTTTCCTGTTTACTCAAGTAACATCATCATATATGTCATATTTGCACCCAAAATCATTCATGATTATAGTTTCCAGTGTTCACGTTCTGTGGTTCACGTTCTTCGCAATTTGATTGGATCGTTATTTCGTCAACTGTCATAGCAGCCAATAGCTGGCCTTGTTTTCAAGAATTGAAAACAGGAAAGTTGGATTGCGAATCTATCTCATCTATTTTGTGTTTCCGAAATTCATACTGCACAGTTGTAGCCCAGTAGCACCCATGCAGTAGCGCTTTGTTGTCTTTTCTCCTGTGTTTATTGATAGTTTATATGGTTTTTGTTTTTTTAATTTTCCTTGCATTCGATTATTCCACTCACGAACACTTTGCGAAAAACAGTTTTTATCAAAACTACATCTTCAATTCATTGTTGTGGAGAGGTGAGACCACTAGTTGACCTTTTGTTTTTATTGATCATATCCTTATTTTCCTTTCAGGATCATCAACATGGTTTTTTCTGTTGAAATAGATAACTTCTTACTGATGACACATTTCAGAAGTGGTACTCGTGATCCTGATAGAACGTGGACATATTCACTTCTAATCACAGACTGAATTTGGAACAGCGATTTGAAAAAAAAAAAAACTAAACCTAATCTCCAAAGGAACATCATCTGATGGTAGACCGATTTTTTTTCCCAAAAGTGTTTTTCATGATATTGCGAGAATCGTATGGTGGAAAGTAGTAATGAGTCTCACAGTTGTCACAGGAAACAGCTAGGAAACTAATAAGTAGGAGAAGTTTCCATATGCCCTCTCTCAGGTTTTTCTGAACTTTTCATGAGGCACTGTGGAAAAATCATCAAATGCATCCCTACAATAAGATTACTGCTGTACAAGAACTGAAACTACATGAATTTGAAAGGATCATCCGATTTGTTCATTGGTTCAATGAGCATTT